GAAACTTCTCGATTGTATACTGGTTTTTTTAGGGTAGCCATTCCAACTGTTTGCGTGCGTGTGCGTGCGTGTGAACTAGACTAGACTTTTTCCTTTGTGACCTTTTGAAATAATCCGGTTCGGAAAGTACGTCTTCGCCTACGTCGGCCTCGCCCTCGTCGTCTTTTCTCGTGCCAAATATCGGCCCTCGCCCAATTACAGCCGTTGATTGGACAATTGTTCGTTTAATTATGCGCCCTCTCCTTCTTCTTCTTTTCCCACTTGTTTTTCTCCGATAGCGAGCCGTTTTTAAGGGAATAACACAAACTACTAGCACAGACTGAATGCTGAATGGTTAGGTCTTCTTCTTTTTATAGTCGGCGGTGCAACAACGCTCTTTTCCGTTAAACATCAAGCAGATCCACAAACAATCAGACAAACACTAACGTTTTCGCTTTTCACGTTCCAAGAAATACGCAACACACATTCGTTTCACAAAAAACGCTGCTGGTTACAAATTAGCAAAACCGCAGAACTACTCACTCACGAAAAGAAGTCTCCGATTTTTCCGCTCTCCCATTATTGGATTGGCATTTTCGATAATGGAGCGTCAGAGTGGTTTCTCCTAGAGCATTTTCATTCCAAGGCATTTTCCAGTCTGATTGGATGGTAACAGTGGGATTGGACTTGTAGAACCAGTTTTTGACGGGGACATACATGCGACTTTTTGGTTCATAACCTTTCTTCAAATCATCGACACTGGCTACCGCGAGAATATTTTCCGTCCGATTTCCGAAGGCAAAAGATACTATTTGATTCATGCAGATAATGGCCTGCTTGCGCCCCCGCTGCGTGTCCACCGGCAGACGATTTCGAATGAGCCGAGTGTCTCCATATTTTTGGAAGTTTTGATCGTGAAAATATGCGCTTGCCGCCACTTCTTGACGCATTACGCCGGCATCGTCATCGTAGAGCAGACCCAGTACCACCGACAGCAGGTTACCTCTATTGACAATTTGCACCTGCCCGTTCTGACTCAGCCAGTGCAACTTTCCTTCTTGCAGCAAAATTAAAGGCGCAATTACTCCAGCCATATTGGTGACCATCATCTGGACTGCCTTTGAGACGGCAGCAACGAAGTCACGCGGCGATTTGTCGAATTCGGCCTCCGCAAGGTAGGCATCTAAATAAAGTTGGCTGTCAGCACTGTTTACGCAGACTGTCAGCTGCCGATGCTCAGGTGGGATGGTGCTGAGCTCTGCTGAAGTGAACGCTCTAACCAGGGCAACCTCCCAAGGCACTTGCTGTTCGTAGTAGGATAAAATCGGTAGTTGTTGTTTATTGGAAAATTGTGGCGGTGTTGCGCATGTCAGTGAGCCATAAGCCACGGAAGCTCCGCTATGCAGTACGGTATAAAATCCTCCCTCCATCATGGTTTCCTACAAAATGACAGGTTTATCTTATAAATATGAAAGGTTCACAACTGACTGATCATACATTTTCAGAATTTCATTTAATTCTTCCTGACCCAACTCTGGAAATATCTTCCTTATAAAACTGCAGTGGCCGATTGCCTTCCAAGAGAGTTTTCGGTACGCGATCGAGCGTCTGCAGACGATACGTTATCACCGGCCCAAACAAAATTTCGGAAATTTGAAAAATTTCATCGGAGAACGTTTGAGTGTATCCCTTGCTGAATGTTGATTTCTTAAGTGCAATCCGGACTCTGTCACCAACTTTAAACGCTGCCTTCTGCAACTTAATAAACCGCTTTTCCTGGCCCAGTATAAATAACTGCGATTGATTGCTGACCGTGATTTCTCCCGGCTTCATTTTCACAGCACTATGTACGCTTCCATTATATTTTTGAATAATATTTTGCAACGCTGAAAACCAATTTGAACTCTTCGTGAACGTAAAATGACGGAATAATGTCGTTTTAAGAGTTCGATTGAAACGCTCCGCTAGCGCGGCTTTAAATCTTGAAGACGATATTTGGTGGCGTATGCCGTGTTTGTCGTATACGGATTTTGCTTTTTCATTGATGAACTCTTTTCCCGCATCAGTAACTAAAACAGTTAAATTTACAAAAGCTTTCTTTATATTTAGGATAGCGTGTGCTGTTCAGTCTCGTTATTCATTCTCACCAAAAACAACGGGCCGCCGCTTTTGAAAAATTATATCCAGCGCTTTCGAAACAGTCTCACCCGATTTGTTGACCAGCGGGTACGATGTAGCAAAACGACTGACGCAGTCTACTGTCGTTAGAATGTAACGGAACTTTTCATTAAATTTTTTAACTTTCTGCAGCTCCACCAGGTCACCATGCCAAACGTTATCCACGCCAACGCAAAAATTTTTCAATTTCTTAAATTTAATTCGGGTAGGCCTGTGCAACGTATGAGTCTTTTGCTCAGAAAGAAAATCCTTGACGTCCTGTAGGGTTACCGTCAAGTGCTTAGCTTTCTCTGCCTCTTTAGCAAGCCGGTATAGAGTCATCGTTCCACCCAAATACCCCGGTGACGTAATATCAGTATAGAGCGATTTAAGAAAGGAAGCTTTTCGCCGACTTTCAGTGGCGGTTGCTGGTAATAACTTTTTTCGCGCCATTGCAGCTTTCTTACCTTTTTGCCGGGTTTTGTGTTTCTTAGCAACAGCGGAAGCGGAAGCGGTAGCAGCAGAGCCTCTCTGAATAATTCCACGTATCAAAAACAATAATCAGCTCCACAGCCAGCAAATAATCTATAGTCATGCGGGGAGGGGGGCCTTTCCTGATTACACAACAATTTATGATCAGGGATATAATTCGATTTCGCATCCGCTTACGAGCAGAAGGTTGTCAGAAATCTCGAAAAGCCAAGTTGTTATTCACACGTCATTCTTTGTCTTTGTGCACAGCTTTTATACAGGGTGATAAACACGCTGAACACACAAAACAGTTGTGGTGACATCCTGTGACTTATACTCCGCTGGACGTCTCACAACAGGGGGTGAGGCGCATGGGCAACTATCGCACAGACCCGGCCCCATCGATCCAGGGGGCTGATGCGGCTAGAATCAGCACGGCATGTGAGCATTGCAACTAAGCAGATCCGATATGCAAGCCGTATAATATATAATAGCTATCACCCGGCGTAATTCGATGCTGCAGTCAGTGCAGTTTTGCGGATTTTTCGGAATGGTGCGCCGCTTCTTTACAACTATTGTCAGTTCTATCGGGAAACTTTTATCTTTTAAAATTGACTACAAGAGTGTTCCTAAGAAAGTTAACGAACCGTTTTGCTGCAAACACCAAGCCGGCATTTTGGCTGAACACATTTTTGCAATAGGTGTTGGAAAGTCAACAGCGACAGCCAAACAGGACGCGGCTAAAAAATTACTTGCTATTTTATTGCGGAATTACCATACCAAACTCTTGGAAGTGTTGGAAAGCGAAAGAAGGCAGCAACAATCAGGATCCACATCCACTAACACCACTACCATCACAACTACTACCAGTAAATCAGCGCCTACGCCAGATCCATCCCTCTCTCTCGCCCCGAGAAAACAACCGCCTTATCAGGCACTCGCGGAAAGCCTAGCAAACATACTCGGTTTTGATTTGGAATACCGCCGACTTCCGTCCATCGACGCGAACAACTGGAATTATCAGGCAGCAATTGCCAACGAAGATATCTTTATAATAGGGAGCGGACCAACAACACACCTGGCAAAAGCGGATGCTGCTAGGCTACTTGCTCGGAAACTACTGGTACATTATATTCGACTTTTATTAGAAATCTTGGATTCTCCACCCCGCATCGCCTCTGTTTCCAAGGCAGCGACGACATCGACAACGACACCGACGACGACGACGGCGCCGGCATCACCATGAGCAGTGGTTATAACAGTAGGACAAACGGGCGGCAAAGATTTAGCTTCCGACCCAGTATGATTGACCGATATCGTTCGCCATATAATTCACCCCCTTCACCTTCGGATACTAATGAACCATCTTCCGACAACAACAACAATGACGGCAGCTATTTCACTCCGCCAAAGCACCCCGATGCAGGGAGCAGCGAAAAGTACACTGGATATCTCGACACCGGCCAGATACGGAACGAGCTGCAGCTGTGCACCAAGACGTGCTCCATAATCCTGGTAAGCCTTATCGACATCCTCAATATCAAATTTTTCAGTTACTTATGGCGTTCTGTTTTTATATAGCCTCTTCCCAAGCCCATTCTACGCTACCGCTACACGATGATTAACATCACACGCGTAGTAAACTTTTACCAATTCCAAAACCTCATGGAATAAAGCCTCATTCCTCTGGACACCTATTTTCAAAACGCTTTGCGAACAACAGCCATTAAACGCACCGGAACAGAGGTGGATCTGCCACGAGGATTTTCTCATGATGTTTACCAGAAATACAACTACCTGGAACTTTACCGCCACTTCAATCTTCGGCATATCTTCCAGGTTATAAAGAACTACTTCAATCAATTTGTTCAGTGCCAGCATTGCAGAAGCTGCTCGACTGTCATTGTACGAAAAAATGGGAAATTATGCATGATTTGCTTAGCATGTCAGGCTAATACGTTTGTTTGCAAGCGTGTGTGAAACGAGGTTGACTTACGGAACGGCCGTGTTGCGACAACGATGATTCGAATCTGTTAACGAATTCAAACTGGGCATATGCGTGGAAGTTTAGTTGATAAGCCGCCTTTTGTTAACAACGAAGGAAATGTTTTGTTGTTCAACCAATGAAACATCCAAGAAATAAAAAAAGTGACTGTACAAATTTGCCATCCCGGGAACATAATGTAAACGTAAGTGATCCAGCATAGGAAATAACAGGAATTGTCGAAACAAAAAAGCTCCAACATTATGCAGCCATATAACAAAAGATCAACTAAGAAGCAATTGCGTAACGAATTTCAAAACCTTAGTTCTGGGTATTAAAATACAGAATTGTGTGGGTATAGATATATACATACAATGTATCAATCAAGGAAACGCAACCGATGATCGAATTACTGTGTCTGACGCCGAAGTCGCTTGAAACGCTCGCGGCGACGTTTGAATTCTTCACGCTGCGCTTCAAATTCATCGCTTGGACCACCCTGTGCCCGAACTTCCAAGTCCATTTCGCGCCACGCTCGAATTCCATCAGCCATCTGACGCTCTCCTTCCGGTCCACTTGCAACAGTATCATACAGAATACTGGTCGAGAAGGCGGCCATATGGGCGGGAAAGGCTGGGTCCGTCACGCTTCGGCTCCACACAGCAGACAGTCTTCTGGTCCGTTCATCCATATTCTCCACGAAATGGGCCATACTATCGTTAACAGCTTCCCGGTCTACAGATATCATTACCACACAAATCACACAACTGTTTAACACAATTAATCAAGCAACACTGTGGTGATACCTGTGTTGTTGTATCGCTCCGGGTCGATGGCGCTGTGATAAGAGGAATCTGATGGTGGGTTGCTTCCAGAAACGCTTTCCAGGGAAAAATTCCCCGGCTGCTGGTGCGGTAGTTGTGGCGGCGGCTGCTGTTGTTCTCCGCGAGACAAAGCTGCCCGCATGACACTAACTCTTTCGCCTAGACGATTAATACTGTTGTCGAGTCGCAAATTCACATTTTCCCACTCCTGGTTAGGGTCAGCGGTGTTAATGCCGTCAAACCCGGTAACGTCTGTAAGCGCTGTTTATGATTATCAACTAAAAAGACACGCAACACAAAAGCACGGCTGGCGTGCCACATGCACGCATACTTACCGTCATTTGGACGAGGTGGATGATGAGGCGGAGCTGTTGTTGCAGCGGATCCTGGCGGCCAGGGACCTCTTAGATTAGCGTTAGAGTTATGGAATCCCAAGAATGTTGATGGGCGCGATGAGCGCGGCGGTTGGCGGCCGTTGCCAGGGCCACCAAAGGGATGTGGCGGAGCGGATGGAGTTCTGGGAATTCGAACCGCAAAAAGATCGACAGTCCTGTGTGCGTGCAGCCGTGCCATGCAGCGCTGAAATAAATTGTAGCGTGATGCCGCACATCCCAGGATAGCCAGGACGAGCAGGACAATTGCCACAGCGATCCCGATTATTCCGCTAGTATCCAAAAGTGGCGCACTGCTGCTGCTGCTGCTGTGGCTGGCTTTGTTGTTGTTGTAGTTGTTGTCGTCGTCATCGTTGTCGTTGCCACTGCTACTACCTAAAAAGCACGGTGGACATGGTTGACATGGCTGTAGCTGCAGAGTCGGGTGAACGACCTCCTCCTCAAGAAGGTAAGAGTGGTTAGACATGTTGTTATCTGTTCCGGATATGTTTACATCGCTGCTGTCAATACTGATCAAAATTAATACATCTGCTACGCTTGAATTGTCTCCCGTTTGGTTCACCGTCGCCAATGTCGACGCGGGTGCCGCGGGTGTCGTCGTCGATGACGACGACGACGACTCAGCAACGTATTTGATAACAGAGACGGAATTGGTGCTGATGGTGGTGGTGGTGGTGGTGATGGCCGCTGATAACTCGTGGTCAAATACAGCAGCGGTAGCGGTGGTGAAAATATCGGGTATGTAGCTTCTCGTTGAAGATATATTGTTTTCCGAGGAAAACGGGGGGGCAGATGAACGATCGCTGCCATAATCCTTCCGATCAGCGCCACCAACTCCCCCGCTACTATCCCCTTCATCCATAAAGGTTTCAGTAACTTGGGTATGAACCGTGGTGCTGTCGTCGGGGAAACTGTTTATCACCTGATATGTGGTAGCAACAGGCGCGCTAGTGCTGATGCTGCTGGTGTCCATTTCATTTTCTATTTCCGTGGACAATGGGACGGAGGAAGGGTGGATATTAATTATTTCAAAACGAATGTCTGCACGTGGAGACAACAGCATAGATAAAGTTGACGATAAATTCGAAATTTTTATGGTGGTGGGATCTATCAGGGCCGTAGCAGCATCGGTCAAGACAGGAGAAACAACGTATGCGCTATCATCACTCGACGTAATTGCCGATTCTGTCGTGGTGGTGGTGCTGCTGCTGCTGGTGCTGCTACTGCTGCTGCTACTGCTTTTGCTCTCTTGCCTAACCGTAATTAATAAAGGGGCAGGTGATGTAATCGTCGCTTGCACAATTTTTGTGCTTGCCGCAGGCGCCACCGCCCCGGCCGTTGTTGTAGTTATAGCGGCAGCTACATACATACAACAAGAACTATCCGAACCTTTTATCGAAAATAATGTTTGATTGAATCTTTACTTACCAGCATGGGTGGTAGTGAAGACTTTGGGCGGATATGGCAAAGGCCAGGGTGTTGGAAACCCGGTTGGTGTAGGGCGGCTGGACCACGGACAGCACGGGGCATACGCGCAGCCGTTACGTTTGTCTACGGATGGATATACATTTTCTGCGTGAAACTTATTTCGATGGGAAACGATTCTGAGTCAAGAAAACTATTTACAAAAAATTTTTATTGGTAATTAACCTTTTCCGCATCGGGGAGCGATGATCTTCAGACCCAGTTTCTCCAGGCACTCCAATTCACGACATTGATAACCGTCAAAAATTGTGTTGACCAGGAAGATTAGTTGCAAATCCGGGAAATTATGGGTAGGCCGCCAATTTGGAAGAACATTCACATCCGATCCTGTCATGTCCAACATCTTCACACCTCTCACAATTACATGAGGCTGATTATCCAACGGCCAGGTCATCGAGCTGCTGCTTGAGCACTGCCAGATTGTAGGCTTACAAGTGCAGAAGTATGGACAAGCGGCGGCGGCGGCGGTGTTGGTAGCGACGATGGGATAGTACTGTCCGTAAGCAACGCTGCAAACAGTAATTACACCCATTACAGCCCCGGCAATAACAAGGTTAAAAACCACTGCCATTGTTATGCACGGTAAACACACAGGTCAATTAGAATGAATACAGTTATTATAGTTATGGCACATAAGAGCTGTTAACAAGTATTCTAGCCTGGCAAAACATCATTCCAAATGCAAACGACTCAATTGAATGCGCAAATAATCAACTGATGGTTGAGTTAGTTTTCAACATCGCGACTTACCTCATTTTTCCTCTCATTCTCTGGGCCGACGGTTTTCGAAAGAGAAAAAATTACCAGGAGATAAGACTATGATGACATTACAGCTAAAATTCTCTCTGCTGTAAGACACTGTTTACGCTTCATTACGCTGATAAGAGCCATGAGAACTTGAGCTAGATGGCCATTTTTTCCTCCACATGCAGTATTTTTTTATCAGTCTACCACTGAAGACATGAAAATGAGCACACTGAATAAATAAGCAGCGGCCAGCAATACAGCTGTGACTTTGCACACGGCTTGCAATCTTTCTTTCTTTCTTCCATAAGCCTGCGTGTACAAGCAGCAGAGAATAAGTAGACGTATGCAGCGCACAGCAGCGAGAGTAGCCAGTACGTACTGCGTCCCACTTCTTTGAGGCTGCAGAGATCAGACAACTAAGTACAGTACAGTACTTATGACCGCTATATGTACCGCACAGCCTGACCACCCGCGGGCTGGCTGACGCCTGCTTCGCAGGTAGCGACCTACGTCACTTTGGCCCATGGGTGGTTGGTTGCCGGCCTTATTAATATTTCAAATATTAATTTGTTTAGACGTTTTATTTTAATTTTGTAAATAATAATTTATTATTTTATTTTAACTTATTATTTAATTCCAGGGGCAGTTGGGGGTGACTGCTTCTGGGGGGCAGTGGATCAGGGGTGGCGCCCAATGGCGCCAGAATGATCACTTATCATCATAGGAGCAATACGATAAAATCATAGCATAGCACTGTAATTGCCGGAGGCAACATCGATGTAGCTCCCGAAATTAGCTTTGAGAAGCTATATTTAAAAGTAATTGTATTTTTCTGGACAAGAAGCGTTATTACCGAGAAAATGACAAAATAAATATTGCCGATCAACAGCAGTACTAACTCGCCAGACAGGCATGAACATTATGAGCCATTATTTTGTGTTAACACTTCTACCCAAAGGCGGCATGGACCGTATTAATTTGTTCCTAACTGGTTTTTGCTTTTTGTTAGTTAATATACGTTCATCGTAGCGTGGTAAGGGATATCCACCGATGTTGCTGGAAAGTCTGAGTGCACATGTACCTCGGGCAGTTTAATTAACAATTACTGAAGATAATAGTGATCACTTTATGTCAGTATGGCTAAAACGCCCCCACTGTTTACATACTCACTTAGCTTCCTAAAGCCTAAACAGCACTAGCAGCCTTACATTTTATCGAGATCTTTAAACGGTTTTGCTAAAGCTTTTGCAAAATGAAAGCTATTTCCATGATAGAGAAATCGGAATAAACATGTCGCAGGTATTTAAGAATCAGACAAGGCATGCCCATAATTCCGGAGTCATGTTAAACGACAACCTGACAACCGACGAATGTGACTGGAAGCGTGCCCTGCGTATGAACGTCACGGATGACACACGAGAATCCGCCTATGCTTCGCTGTTATATCTTGTTGCATTCCCCGTGTTGCTCTGTTTGTGCACCGTCGGAAGTGTCCTTACCGTCGCTGTTCTTTTGAACGATCGATTGCAGCGGAAAATCTCCACGGCGATCTACATGGTCGGAGCAGCCCTCGGAAATTTATGTATCATGTGAGTTGTACGGAAATGCATGCATAAAAGCACATCGCTCATCATATTTAATATTTCAGTTAAGGGATTTGGCCCGGTACATAGCACCAAATTCGTGTACATACATGGGAACTTCCGCTGTCGCGTACTCACAAACACTTTTTTGCATTGCTTTATGGTATTTTGTAGCCGAAAGACTTGTATGCATAGGCGTGAAATCAGTTTTTGCGCGCAATTCGGGAGTTATGGATGTTAGAAAATTCCAAAAAGTTTAAATGCACTCAGGTGTACCAAAAGTCTCATTATGGACCGATCCCTTTCAAATTTTGCAGGTAAATGCGCATAACAATGCAGATCGTTTTAACACCAATCCACTGTTCCAACACGTTTTCAAATTTTAAAATGAATTCGAAATTTTAAAATTCATTTTAAAATTCGAAAAAAATCGTGAAAGTCTGGATCCGTGTAAGAGCGATCTTCATGGTTATGTGCATTTACGCGCAAAATTTGAAAGGGATGGATCCATAATGAGGCTTTTGGTACACCTGAATGCATTTAAGCTTTTTGGAATTTTCTAACAGCCGTAACTCCTGAACCGGATGTTGCGCTCAAAAACAGATTTGACGCCTAAGTACAAATCATTTGGCTACGCAATGTCAAAAAGCAACCCAAAAAAGTGTTTGGAAGTGCGCGAAAGCGAATATTCCCGTGTATGTCCAGGAATTTGGTGCTATGTACCAGGCCAAATCTCTTAACAAGTATTTCAACCGACTACGAATTTTTTATTTATGTTAATTCCTATGACGAGTTTCAGGTTCGATTATCCTGTATTTTCAGGTGGCCTAATTTTCCTGACTATTTCTTCTTTTTGAGGGCAGCGATTTCGCAAGGGTATGATAAGGCACAAAATTCTTTTCCTTCGTATGAGGCGGACGGTTTTCTTGACTTCCTGGGTGGTACCGCCCTTCAGTTTGTCGATTGGTAAGGAATATCTTGGCTGACTTAGTTATATATGTTTGTGTAATTACTGTGCAGCCATTTACACCGACCATTTGCTTCGCATTACTGTCTGTTGTAGGACTTTGATAATCTTTGCGGCCGAACGCTTAATCAGTGTGATCCAACCATTAGCATTTTTCTCCCGACGAAAATCTTCAGCTTGGAAACGCGCCGTTATAACAGAAATCATCATCCTCATTCTGGCGGCAACATTTTCCTTATCACATTTATGGATATATTATTATTGGTGGACCTCGCCCCAGTACAGCAGCCAGGACGAGATGCTGCTGGACATTCCATCGCTGAAGCACTGGTACATTGTGCAGACGAATGCTGACGTAAGCGTCTAAATCTGCCACTTTGTAAATTAGACAGATTAGCACTTTAGATCTGCCTGTATGTTTCTGTCAGTTTTACGAGCGAAGTATGAAACATGAGTAAATAAGAAAATTTCAACGACACCGGTTGGGGTCGTTCATGACAGTTAGCGAAATCAGGAACACAAACCTAACAACGTTACTATGCGAAAAAAAACATATTCTCTGGCAATATATTTTGCAGACGATCATGCTGATTGCCAAACGCCTCTTACTGCTCTTGATAGACGGGGTGCTGATATTTGTTTTGTGGCGACATAAGAGGCGTGTTAAAAGAACGCTGTCTCGCCGGACAAGTTCGTCAACACAGAATGCCAATCGCATCGTTTAAGGCAGTCTAGTGTTATATCTAATCACCCAGCTACCTACTCTCGGTTTCCAGTTCGCCCTCATCGCCAGCCGTCCACCATACTGCATGTTGGACTTAACCAGTGGTGAGGATGCCAGTGCTGATGATATCGTGCAGATTATCAGCTGGGTGGATTATTCGGTCACCTTTTGGGTCTACTATGCGTCCAGCATCAAGTTTCGTCAACAGTGTACAAACCTGTTTAGTTGTGTTTGTAAGTCCTGTCGCCTGTTCGGCTGCTGCCACGCTGCAGAATGCAATTCTGATGATTCGTCAACTGGAAGAATTATTCTTAGCACTGTTACAAGTAACGAAGTAACTCAATAACAGGCAATAAAGTTGTTTCATGCTATTAGCCAGCAACCGTCAATCTCAGATCTGCTGTCAACTGCATGTATTTAAATATCTGTATCTTACCATTTAATACTGCCGCTTATAATACGCCGTTTATAATACTGCTGTACTATTGCGTTTTATAATAACATGCATTTACCGGCGGCAGAGTACTTGAGAGCTCCTACTCTTTTCTGACTGTGCCATCGCCTGACAATCATAATGACATACGTACATGCTGATAATAAAAAAACTGAGAATAATGAGACGTGCTGAACGTCATGGGTGCGGGGGCAGTGCATCATGGATCCGGGCACTGACATCCCTTAAGGTTATTTCTAGAGATGAAATATATAAAAAAATCAACAGTAAATGCCGAGAGGGTGTGACATGGTGATAGAGTACTAGTAAGTCTGTTTCAAACGTTAACATTTGATTAAGCAAAACGTTTTAACGACAGCTTAGTTCAACATTCTCTTCCAGACAATTCGTTATTTCTCCCGTCCAGGTATTTGGCATTCTCACTGATCGAGATGCTGAGCTGCTCGTTGCTGTCGCATTTCCCTACGCATCCGCTAAAATAACCACCAGGTACGGTATATTATCGAAAAATGCAGCGCTGACTTGAGAATGGCTGTATTACTGTTCGCAGTACTAGTACCTATTAAATACATCTCCAGTTTACTGACGTGTGTTGAGAAATAGCGACGCGCTGCTTTGAGCGGTGGTACCGGTGAAACGATGACAACATTCATAGGAAATAAATTCTGTAATTATAATACTCAAAATTTGAATGAACTGAAAGCCGGTCAAACACCGTGTTGACCTGTTATTGGACCGAGTGACCTCCCATAACGAATCATTCGTCGGCGCGGGATCGCTCTGTGAGCCACGGAACGGCCAACGGCCTGATCTTCAACGAAACCGGAGAACCGTTTTGTCTGTAATTGGTTGATGGAAAGGTTCCGCCGCTATACTGGCGATATCACTGCTATCCACCGGCATATCTCACCAGCAACAAATACGATCATGAAGCGCCAAGTTAGTCTTGTATGCAGCCGTTGTAAAGGAAGGTTTGCGTATTCGCACCGGTTTGCGAACGGTCAGCAGATGATGCAAATCCCACCGAAAGATCTGTAAGTCGATTCAAGAGTCTCAATAACCGTTACATTTCACACGATTCCAGCACTTGTAAACAACTGAGCGTATATAAACATCCGTAAACGTTTCACATGCATTTATACTCAGTCATCAGGCGCTCGTATCAATGCATAATAATTTGCACGATGTTTAAACATTTTGGGATTTGACTGGTTTTTTCACAACTCACAGAATTTGTCAACCGTGTTGCGCAAATAGCAATCGCTCGATAACTACATACCATTTTTAAAATTTTACCGCGTTTTTTGTAAATACCGGTTGAACAGATAAACGTTTGACTTCACGGAACAAACGTTTTCTTTAAAAATTAGTAAGACCCTTATTTATGTCAGCGCTATTTTTGTCATTATAAGACTGACGCATCTCTATGGTATCTTATAAGTTATAAATAGCAAGTAACAGTTTCTCGGAGAAGCACAAGCTTAAATCAGTGCGGTTGCTCAATGTCCGCTTCATCTAGACGGGGCCTGCGTTACATTAAAGGAAAAGCGCTCGCCACAAGCGCCATGTAAGGCTGAAATCCATAATTAATATAAAATACTACTTTTCAGCCTACAAATGAATAACAGAATAATAAAACAATCATTAGCAAAGAAAAACTTTTCACGCAGTGGAATCGATGTATCTGCACAGCCGATATCTGCATTAAATGCTGGCAAATTATAAGCACCGTTCGTAATTACCCTGATGTTGATATTTGAGCAACACCGCTGCTGATCGAATGGATTGGAAAAAAGCCAGCATTTCGATATCCAACTCAATAAATTTCTAATTTAAGGCTATCGCCTCGAGTCACGGAAGTAAAGTGGGAATGTTTACAATAGAAGATTGGGTAGATATTTCCGCTAAACATGCCACCTGCCTGTTCTCCCTCCATACTTGATTAAGAATTCAAGCTGCCTGTCATCGTACCTTGTTTGCCGTCGGCTCGAATGCCTAATTCAACTTATATGCAGTTGTACACTGTCGGTGTATCAGAGCCGAAAATGCTGTCTACTGTGTTTCATCCTTTTAATGATTTTTTCCCGATCGAGCAGCACTGTGCCACGTTTACCCGCAACTGCCGCGGCTGCATCGACCAGGCATCGGTAGAAAGAACTTATTGGTGGTTTATTACACGTTAGGATTTACTTTAGGATTTAGTCATACGCTTGGTTTATTCTACGCTAGCGCAGTTATCTAAATCTGCGGAATATTACAGTTACTAATCAGGAATACAAACGTTTCGGCTAATGACACAGCCATACCGGCGGTATCTCCAACCCTCACCGGTCTGGCGATCTTGCTCATGTTTCTATGGATCCTCTTTCTGTTGGTGCTGTTACTCCTGAATATCGCAGTCCTGTGATTGACCTACACTTACACGCCAGCAACCTCATAAAGGGTGCACCTACTCTGTACTTAGCCCCTTAGGAATTGTTTTGGTTCTTATCATCCTTATTGCGGGGGTTATTTTTTAAGCAGATGACCAAACGCTGATCCCGCAGATCATACGAACTTTACTCAGTCTGCCAGTGTTTCCAAGGCCTGCACAGGATACGCTTCAAAGGATGTATATTATAAAACGATTATTTATTTGGCCCATTTTTGACCAACTGGTTCTAATATCCTTGCCTTTGCCTTCGTACTTTTTGGGCCACGCAAAAAGTACAAAGGCAAAAGCAAGGATATTAGAACCAGAGTCTGCATAATTAGTATGCATTAGTATGCATAAGCCGCCACTCAAGTGAAGAGCGGATGGCACCGCGGCCAAGAGGGAAAAAGGGGAATTCCTGTTTTATGTGATCGAGTCAGTTTTGGTCCTTGGGAAAGGCCCAGCAAACGGCCTCCAGAACGTCTGGAGGCGGTATGCTGTGTGTTTTCCAGGGTCTGCTCGTTTTATTGTAGCATCCCGACTCTTAATTCGACTTACTGGCGCTTCCTTCCTAATGCCTTTTCCTACATTCCGACTGCTATAGAGCCAGTGTTCATATCATCGGCAGCCCGTCTCCAGTTCTGTTTGCGTAATGCATACGAATCATATGTGCTACGCAAACGGAATCTGAGACCATTTACGCCGTTTCCTGTAAACTTTGCTGCTGCCTGTGCCGGCGTGTTTTTCCCCGTCAAGATGCTGCACAGTCGTCACATCGGAACGATCGGCATAGAAATGGCTCCTGTGGTATAAATTTCTAAGCAAATGCACTGACGTTTTCCGATTACAGATCCACTCCTTTCATCGAGACCTTTAATAAAAACGGCTTCGCTGAAAGTAATCAGCTCGACTTATGACGAGTACCAGTTGTAATTACTGTAGTGGATTAACTCGCTCAGTTAAACGAATGGCAGCTCTTAAAACAGATATAATCGAAATTACGCAAATGAAATACTACGATAAGTGTAATACAAGCACATTTGTGTGCCAAATAAATACCGCACAAGTTTCTTAATTATTGTTCAAACTACTTGTGTTATCATCACAATTATTATGAGAATCCTTGAAATTATTATTTTTCAAGAAATTCTGGAAAAATATTCAGTTCAAGGGTTCTCCAAATAAAGTGATAATCGTTAAAAAACAAGTAATATCAATAAAGAATAATATTGTAATCAGTATTGATATCTATCGATATAACTAGCAGTCTAGCACAGTTTATTAACATTTTTAATATGAGCCCAAAACATTTCCAATTGTATTAAAATACGTACTCTAACATAAACGCACACTGGAATGCTAACGGACCATTAATAATTATGTTCACTTTTGGACGCATGCGGTAACATAATATCTGGTTATTGCGCGGCGCGCGCTCGTTTTGAGTTTGAAACAATGCATTCGTAGTTTAATCTTTTGAGCACTGGAATCGGTAAATTCAGTTACAATATTTTCTACTGGCTCGGTGTTTTTTCTTCTAAAAGGTTGCACTTGGGCGGAAACTCGTCTTAAGATTACTACCCAACGGCTGCGTGAGCCGTATTAATTTATTTATAACCGGTTTCTGATTTTACTTTGCTGATAATGCACGTTCATCGTAACGCCGTTGTAGAGGGAAATACCGATCTTACATGGAAATCTGAGTGCATAGAAGCATATGAGCACCTCGGGCTGTCTAATTAGCAATTACTGCAACAATGATCACTGTCTTTATGACTCCATAAAACGCTTACACTGGTCATATATCTGTACAATGAGCCCCTTAAGAGCCTAAACAGCTTTTACGGCTGGCTATTTTGTCTAGATCTGCAGATGCTTTGCTAGGCGTTTTGCAAAATGGAAATTATTACTTTTACGACAGCAAATTCTTGATAAAATGTCGTCGTTACTCAAAAACAAGACAAGGCATGTCCATACTTCCGGAGTCATTTTAAACGACAACCTAACAACCGACGAATGTAACTGGAAGCGTGCCCTGCGTATGAACGTCACTGATGACACACGAGAATCCGCCTCCGCTTCCCTAGTTTATCTTACAACTTTTCCGGTTTTGCTCTTTTTATGCACTGTCGGAAGTGTCCTCACCGTCGCTGTGCTTTTAAACGATCGATCGCAGCGGAAAACCTCCACGGCGGTGTACATGGTCGGAGCAGCTCTCGGAAACTTATGTATAATGTAAGCCGTACGTAAACTTATGATCAACGACGTAAAATATCGCTCATCATATCACTTCTCATAAAATACAATTCAAATAACATTTATTAATTAAGGTTTATTCTGTGACGAATTCAGGGCCTGATGTTTCAGGTGGCCTCTTTTTCCTGATTACTGCTTCTTTTTAAGCGGAGCCATTTCCTATGGAGTTCCGTATGATATAGACAAAGCACCTTACACTCGGGCTTTTTATCGGGCCCTTGGCTTGCTCGATTTCCTGAGTTATACCGCTGCTGATTTTGTAGATTGGTAAGGTCTATTTGTGCCGACAGAGTTGCCATAAAATCCGATATTAACGCCCTGTGGTGTATTTACGTATATATTATTTCCATTGACGCTAGTGAACCGTTTACACAGACCATCTTCCGATTCGCATTGTTGCTGTCGTAGGACTTTAATAATCTTTGCGACCGAACGATTATTCAGTGCGATACGACCATTATTATTCTTCTCCCGAAGAAAATCTTCAGCCTGGAAACGCGCCGTAATAAAAGAAGTCATTATTCTCATTTTGGCTGGAGCATTTTCCTTATCATATTTATGGATATATTATTATTATTGGACCTCGCCCAAGTACAGTAGTCAGGACGAGATGCTGTTGCAGATTCCTTCGCTGAAGCACTGGTACATTCTGCAATCCAATGCTGACGTAAGCGTTTAACGTTGCGGTTTTGACCTTGCTGCAGAGTTAATTTCAGCGCATATTGACCAGAAACTGGGGCCTATATCAATGGGCCGGATAACATGTGTAGAATTTTGACAAATTTTTTCATTTTCCGATACGTACAAGCTTGTCCGGTAATTTCTTCCGGTTCAATACAGCGAAGTATACAGATTTGCGTGTTACGCCAAACTCTATGCTACGGCGCGCCACGTCACACTGCTTAAATACTTAACATGCATCTGGCTGGCAGGTGGCTTGGTGCACGCCAGATACTTTAATGAGAATAACAGTAACTGCCTGGCTGAAGGTGGTTAGAAAACGGTCGGTGTGGTAATGGGCATTCTATCTGCGCAGCGCATTTAGGCAATCCGATAAGCGTAGTGACGCGGCCATCATTTTAGGCGCGAATTTCGCGCTAGCTGTACCTTTACGAGAGAAATTGCCGAACAAGCTTGTATAGATATTACCAGTTATTTGTAATACTCAACCAAAGTAGGTATGGAAGGGCGTTCGGTGACGTGAACGCGCACATCAAAAATGCCGCCCATCGACGCATCAGAGATCTTCTAAGACTCTCGTCACGGATATGGTTACAACCGTTACACGGCATTTCACAAAGTAACGTGTCACCGAGTGCAGTTCATGACCACAATTTTTCGCAACCACAACACTTTATGACCACGACATTTCACAACCGTGAAAATTTATGACCTCCTCGTTTTGCAATAAATATTTTACGACGGACAGCAAAATCTCAAATTCATAGCCAAAATTAGTTTTAGTAGTCTCAAAATTCAGAAATAGTCAGAAACATGAATAACTGGTAATACTAATCGGGGATTAAAAAACTTTAAAGAGCTACACAATTTTTAACTACCTAAGCGTACACAAAAACCTACACAAGCCTTAATTTTTATGAGTATGCCCCGGAATCGACTTTGCTGTTTAGGTGCATTCTCATATCTGTGTATATCTGTAAGACTGTATTTGCAGGTGCATATACCGGTTTACAGCGTCCCTCGGGAAGTACGAAATACTAGGAAACTAGTATTAATAAGAATTTTTTTTAAACAGAACCGGGTCGCGGATGACCAGCAGCGAATCCAAAAACACAATTCAGCCGGGTTGCTGTTCTTTTTTTTAGACGATCATGCTGATTGCCAAACGCCTCTTACTTCTCTTGATAGATGGGGTGCTGATATTTGTTCTGTGGCGACATAAGAGAAGTGTCAAAAGAACGCTGTCTCGCCGGACAAGTTCGTCAACACAGAATGCCAATCACATCGTCTTGGGCAGCCTAGTGTTATATCTAATCACCCAGCTGCCTACTCTCGGTTACCAATTCGCCCTCATCGCCAGCCGTCCACCATACTGCAGGCTTGTCTTAACCAATGGCGAGGATTCCAGTGCTAATGATATCGTGCAGATTATCAGCTGGGTGGATTATTCGGTCACCTTTTGGGTCTACTATGCGTCCAGCCTCAAGTTTCGTCAACAGTGTGCAGATCTGTATAGGCGTTTCTGCAAATCCAGTCGCGTGTTTTGCTGCAAACACACTCACGAACGCAGCACTGATGATTCATCAACAGGAAGGATTATTCTTAGCGCTGTTACAAGCAGCGAAGTGACTCGGTAACAGGCAATAATAAAGTTTTCTTCTTCGGCCAGTAAACTAACCGTAGATCTGATTACAAGTTAAGAATACCATAATGAAGGAATACCATAATGAAGTTAAGTAAAAAAATTACACGCATTGTAACGGTGCGCAGAATTTTTGGTTTTAGAAACCGAACAACCATATAAGATGATCGAAATCTTTTGGGATTATCTTTTGGGATTTTGGGCCCTTTAACATCAAACACTACACTCAATGCCGGTACGGTGAGAAAAACCAGCACGAGCTATCGAACACCTGCTCGCGTCCGACAATTCGGCATCGTCCCGGTCAGGGGTTTGACCTTTCTCCGTTTGTCGGGATGTTTTTCACATGGCTGGGTGCATCTTCGATAATGTACAATTAAATGCGGCAGTTAATTATTGTTAATTTACTTGAGCGGAAGTTGTTGTTTCGTTTTGTACTGGCGCTCATTACCTTAGCAACAGTCGTCTTGTGGGTTAGTACCGATGTTGCTTCAAATGCATGCTACAATTTGATAAGTCATTCGAATCTTCAGAACAGTTGTGGCTGCTTCCTGAATCGGCTGTTCAAGTTTGCATTGTTTTTTGGCGAAATTGTATTGCCGTTTTTTAGCGAAATGTTGTGGCGAAAAATTGTGCAGTTCAATAAATTTCAAAAAGTTGATGTGTAAATACTTCGATAATTTGTATATTACCGCCTGCTTGTCCTACGATAAATTTACGGGAGATCCGGTTCCTGTCATTGTAATTAACGATCAGTGAACTCGTTCCAATCATATATTCCTATGGTTTATATTATATGTCACTTGTGAACAATTTATTCTTTACTGCTAAATTAATCTCAAGTCTTTTGCGAAATTATACGAGTACCATTCTCGATGGCACGCAACCGGATGTTTCGAACCGTGGACGCGGCCGACCACGTGGGACTGGATGCGGAATTACACGAAGCAGGCGCCCTGAAGGTAGACGTTCTGGTGTCAGTTCAGGTATCCCGAAAAAGGAAACGACGGTGGAAAATGAACTCGCCCAACTCAAAAAGCAGGTATTATCCGATTTATCTGCATAGGTTGCAACTGTAGTTCCCCCATTTGATAATAGTGTTCGATCCTTTTCACCGGCGACCCGTAAAGTTCGAATCCAGAATACCGGCAAAGCAGACGCGCCACAGCTCCACCTACGGGACCTGTCTCCTGTTTCCGATCCAGGTAAAGCTTTTCATACAGATGGCGCTACTGATGTCGAATTAAATGGTACTAGTGATGCTACTGCCGTAATTCGAAAAGCTGCCGCGATACTTGAAGCTTTACCGGACAATGATAAAAGCCTGCTGCTACCAGTCGAGAACACTCTGCTGCCCAAGCTCTTCAGCAAGAAGGAATTTGTTAATCTTCCCGATCTACTGTTGAACAACTGCACAACTAAAGCGCAGTCGACATCCAAGAATTCAACTGGTAAAAGTGCGCAGATTCGAGCCTTTAATCAATGGATGAGAGCGTTTTCAGTGCTGAAAATGTATCGGTGTGCCATATACCCGGAGTTAGACCTTCCCATGATCATCACTCATATTCAGCACAAAATTTACTATAAAACTAAATTGATCTTAACAGTTTTAGCAATACCAGTGAAATGTCACACTCTGTTTTGTGCAAAAGCAAACCCTGTCCCAAGTTATAGCTCTTGCCCTGTACACGTGGCCAGGGCGGCGACTTCGCTGTATTTGAATGGCTTTCAATCTACTCTTGCACAGAACTTGTGATGTGTGAGCGTCGTTTACTTGTCGCTACAACGTTTGTGAAAAATGATTTATGACCAGTTTTTAGCAATGACTTACATCGTATGTTCACTTAGGCCCCGTCCCGAATTTAAAGCGAATCTCGTTGCGATACAGCAACTCCACCTCGCGAGGTGGCTTCGCGTACCGCATCTGTAGGTGTGGCCACTGCGGTTGAGCAACCGTAACACAGCGAGATCCGCTTTGAATTCGGGACAAAGCCTTACAGTTGTTAGAAATAAATTTTATTTACGACTTATATAATATATTAGCACTTTTTTACGATTTATTACCCATTTTTTAAATTTTTTCAAAACTGAACTAGTTTGGAGAATTTGAAGCAGATCGTTAGAGTGTCGAGCAGTAGCAGCAAGTACTAACATCACTCTGCAACATTAAGTACTGAATTATTTATACATCCTGAATATATCCCGGACAACGCATGCCCTCTCTATGAGATCCAAAATAAACTTTTATTTAGCGCGCTTTTTAAATATCTCAGTCATAATCAAACTGGCTAATACAGCCATTCCGTAGACCAAAAACAATCGTCGTTACGCTACGCCCCGTATTCCCTCGGCACGCCTGATTGTACAGTTGACAACTGCAGGGTGTCTTTTAAGTTTATATTTAACAGCTATCAGTTCCTTCGGAGGTGCACCAGTGTAAGTCAGAGTGTTTGTTCAGTGTCCGCATCATTTAGGTCTCCTGGGTAACATGAACGGAAAAGCTCAAGCACCAAAAGGTTGCATGCCATAAATACATATGCAACATTACTTTACAGCAAGCAAATAAATACTGTAACAGAACAACAAAGAGATCATTAGCAAAGAATGATTTGCTAGCTGAAATAAATCGAATACTGTATGTATCCGCAGATTCCGCACATCCGGTGTGTGTGACAAATGCGGCGACATGATAGGCACAGTTCAGAAGTATCCAACGGTTCATATTTGAACAACACCGCTGCTGATCCTGTGGTTGGGAAGAAAACCAGCAGTTCGATATCCTACCCAAAAAAAGTTAATGGAGTGTGATCTTCTCCTGCCGCGGATGTAAAGAGGAAATGTTTACAATTGAAGATTGGGTAGATTTTTCCGCTAAACATACCACCTGCCTGCTTTCTCTCCATACTGGATTAAGAATTCAAGCTGCCTGTCACCGTTCCTTGTTTGCCGTCGGCTCAACTGACTAATTCAAGCTTTGTACACATTGTACAGTTATTTGTACACTGTCGTTGTATAGAGGCAAAAATGCTACCGACTATGTCACTTTTAACGATTTTTCCCGTTCGAGCATCACAGTGCCACTTTTGATCGCATTTGTCGCGGCTGCATCGACCAGGCACAGTTTAAAGGACTTACTGCCGGTTATCACACGTTAGGCTTAGGATTAATTTTATCGAACGTTAGGGTTATTTTACGTGTGGGTTATTTATCTAAATCTGCGGAATATTACAGTTACTAATCATGAGAACAAACGTTTCGGTCAATTGCACACACAGCCATCCCGGCGGCATCTCCAACCCTAACCGGTCTGACGGTCTTTTTCAAGTTTCTGTGGATCCTCTTTCTGGTTGTGAAAGAGAGAAGAGCCCACAGAAACATGATATTTTCCGGTTTCTTGTTTCTCCTGAAAGCCACCTAAGTTTGACTCATTCAGCACTCTTACACTCACGTTACGGCAACCTTTTATAAGGGTGTACCTATCTGTTCTTAACTTCCCACGAACAGTTGTAAGGTTTGTTGTGGTTTTTATCCCGGTAATCCATATCGGGTGCTGAGCATGCAGACGATGTACCAGTCCCACAAGAATATTGTTCCTGTTTTATGTGAAAGATGTGTTTCTATGGTATAAATAAAGGATAGTTCTTGCTTATGTGAGTTGGCTGTTGTTGTATTGTCGCATCCCGAATATTATTCCGCCACGCTGCCGCTGGCTGCAGATTGCTTTTACGCGTAAAGGCGTTCCACAACCAGCGTCAGCGTGGTGGAATAGAATACATGCTACCTCCTGATTATGTATTACACAGCCAGAGATTAAATCATCGTCTTGAATTCGGCTTGCGCAATGCATATGAATTATACCTACATATGTGTCACGAGTGTTTTTTTTCGTCCAGTTTCTCCACGTCGTCACATGGGAACGAGCTGCACAAAATGGATGCTGTGTTTTAAACTGCTATGCAACTACTCCGCCATTTTCCGATTACAGATCCACTTCTATCTGCGGCAGTCGGGTAGGTGTTAGGTTGCTTTGCTGTTTTTGCTAGTGTTTTCTCCATCTACCAGATTCTAAGTCTGGTAGAGTCTTCAGTTGCTTGATTTCGTCGTCTGAGTTGCTTGTTTTTCCTTTTGCCCCGCAGCAAGGTGCTGCCGTTGCCTTTGATGTGTTGTAGGTGAGAAGGATATGATGGTGTTCAATGTGTTGGCATTCAGTTTCGGTTTCGGCGTCCAGTTTCGTTGCTGTTCGCCCAAGGGTGAACTAGCCGTGCGTCCTTTGTTAAACATACAGCCGTATATCCGGCGCATTTCAAATACATGGTAAAAGAACTACGAGCAATCACAAAAATTTCGTGCTTCTTTGCAGCGGCACACCGACAACTCGCTGATCGACAACTTGCTGACGACTATTTGCTGACCGACAAGATGTTGACTTGACGTTTGGTGAAACAACAAATCGCTGAAGGACATTTTGTTCAACGACCTAAGAAAACCTAAGAAAACCTAAGAAAACCTAAGAAAACCTAAGAAAACCTAAGAAAACCTAAGAAAACCTAAGAAAACCTAAGAAAACCTAAGAAAACCTAAGAAAACCTAAGAAAACCTAAGAAACCATTCGAACCTAAAAAAACCTAAGAAGCCTTCCAAGAAATCCAGAAAATTAGCGGGTCAATTCTTTTGCTGCGAAGTGTCCGCTACCAGACGTCTTGCGTCAAAATGTTTCGAAGTTAAAATGTCCCAATGGAAAATGTCCCAAACCGAAGTGTCCCAGTGTCAAAATGTCCCGCGGCGAAAAGTCTTGCGTCGAATTTATTTGCGGCGAAATGTCACACTCCCAAATGTCCGGGTGCGGGGCAGGCGGCAGGCGCCTGCGACAGGAGAACCTGGCTGATTCACCATTTAAATTTTAATAAGAATTTCTGAATCACAAAAGAAGGTGATGAAATGAAAATCTCACCGATGGCGGGACCGGATGCATTAATAATTTCTGAATGCATTATGCTGAACCGTCTTAAGATTTTGATACACTACACGAACAGACTATCACTACTTCGATCTTCCTCATTTTATTCACTTTAAGTACTTCGGAATCGCCCTTATTTCATTCAGCTGAGCTGTATACTGATGTATTCCAGACTTATGGTGTTAAGACATACAGACTGGTTTTTGGAACTAGTCAGAAGTCATTCCTACCGGCCTGCCTATGGCTTCTCTCCGGATTCCGTACGGTTCTGCGCGTTACTGATTGTGCTGAGCAGGATCACCGCGCTGCCGATGACAACAATCGCCGTCGTGAACCACATTGCCAATTTGCCACTGTTTTATAATAACTAGCTATAATGTACAGTTCTCTTGTTCTCCAGTAATTTAAGTAATCGTGTCAAGTCCTGCAGTGGCCAAGTGTTATGTGTATTTGTCCATTACGCCGGACAAAGTTACTGTTATCGGAAATTTGTCATGAATTTAATTTGTGTTTATTCAGCGCAGAAATGCCGATCGACTCCCATTCCCTGTGTTCAAGCTCCGATGCCTCTTTATGTAAAAACCATCTAACCGATTCCACTTGCCACCATAGGCTACATAATATCATGATACTGTTATAGTTGACCTTGTGTAAGTGCCAGTTTCTCTGTTCGAACCAGGCAAGCACATCTGTTGTCAGGTGTGACAATACGAACGCTCCGACCATCTCCGGATTGTTGTCGTTATAAACTATGCTTATCGGAATAAATCATTGCCGGCGCACGCAGGTATTACAATAAGACGTAAATCTCCTTTTTGTTTGTTATGTCTCCCGTTACTAGTTTGTACTTGCATCGTGACACTTATTAAAAGTCCTATTCGTTACAGAATACACTTGCTGGCATGCTTAAAATCATTGTTCACCGCACTGACCATGGTGAGTCTTGTTGTTCTACACGGAAATGACTAATAAATTTCTTTATCTGCGCAAATGGCGGCACATTTTGTATTGACTGCTCGTTTCACAATTCGGAGGCCGCTAAAAGATAATTATTAGTACAAATGTGGCCGTTAGCCTGATGCTATGCGAGTACGTAAATAAGCCGGCGCTAAAGATATTAGCTCAAATTTCAAAATATGCATGGACGTTTTTCCCATTTCGGACACTTTTACATTATGGATCCACATACCGGACGCCAAAGACACGCTTTTCCCTGCGTTGCTCCATATTAAGAAATTTGAATACTTTCGCGTACAAAATTGAACAAAACACAACATCCGGTTTGTAATCAGCGTTTGAAGCGCTTCTGTCATGTGGAACAACGCGGAGAACACCGTGACCTTTAGTTCCCTACATAAATGCTTCTTACAAAAATGTCTGGAATGCGAGCAAGGGCGAAGTATCTCGAAAAAAGGAAACATCCAGAATCTTTAGTGTTACTGTATAGTTATATTCAGCACTATATGTTGTATGATGAGTGTTTACATCTGACCGCCGCTACAAGGAAACGCTGAGCGCTGCTTAAGAATGGATGTTAGCTTTCCGATCCCAAATTTTTACTAGCGCAGCAATATACGAAAAGTGTCTAAAAGCCATCACCAAACACGAATTAATCGTACCAGCTTATCAAGATTAATCACTGAAAATTGACTAAGGTATTAGCTGCCTAGATCTCATACATGGCAGATCCACTTTGCTCCCGATCAGTTTTTACCCGCATCCCGGTGGGGGACGATTGACGACGGGGGCCGCGGGTGGTGCCACGGGCGGCCGAGGTGCAACAACGGCTGGAGCCGGAGGCGGTGGTTGGGGTTGTGGGCATGTCTGCACCGGTTGGCAGCCGTTGGTGGCGGTGCGAATGTATCCCGGTTTACACATGCATCCGGGTTTGCAGTTGACCGGGCATTTGGGACTGCGGTTGTTGCAGGTCGGGTCGCATAATCCACAGGGGCCCTGCTGCTCGTTGCAACGGCAACCACGAAAGTATTCGTCCGTGCAGCCGTAATTGACGGCGTCAATAATCATTTGTAGAACAGGGTGGTTTGCACTGCATGCACAAGATATTATGGGGATTACAGTTACTGAAATAACGTATTTATGGAGCATTTACGTTTAGCTGGTGGCTGGAGAAATATGGCTACGACAGGCGGATGCCTTCGACAGGAGAAGACTGCTGCTTTACCATTTAAATTTTAATATACATTACTGAAAATACTGCTGAAATAAAAAATTTCGCCGCACCCGTGCCGGTGCGTTCTAAAGCCGTGCGACTAACCCTTGAACCGCACCTAATGGGTTTATTTTGTCTTACACTTTTCCTCGTCGGGCACTGAGCACGCTTGTTTCCGCCACCGTGCAGCGCTCACTTAAAGCTTATTTTTTATCGTTTATTCCGAGCAGCGTGTGCATTCCCGTATAACGGACTACGCAGAGCATTCCCGTATAACGGACTACTTACTACTTACTAGCTACTTCATCTGGCATCTACAGTATTATCAAGACAAAGCTAGTTGTGCATATTGAGAAATGAAAAACATTCACATTTTTGATCTTCCTGCGCTAACTTCTCATGGGAGAACTGCAGCAAATTTATGATGTACGAAAGCTCTTTCTGTCTACTGCCTTTCCATCGTGTAGTTATGCTTATACGCACTGTAGAATGATAATATGATCATGATTCATGCAGATTCTTCCTCCTCAACCGCATCACGGTATGACTATCCATACAAACCGTACTTCAACCAGTCGCACTCGTAACAGTGGTCAACATCCTGTTATTTAGGATTAACGACTTAACTGTAATTAAATCCATTAATCAACCCGTAATGCAATCAGTGTCTGTCCTCGGAACTTTTAATGACATGAGAGACAACGAGGATGTTTTTTAAGCATTTAGATTGGCTGGTCGGGAATAATTAGGGCTCGATGTTGTTTCTCTTGGCAGCATTGCTGTGATTTTGTTAACAATGAATTAAATCAATCCTTCAACAAAAAAAATCAGGCTACTAAGATTGTTACGGACATACGGCACATAACCGGACGCAGTCATTGCCGGCAAGATAAACAGCCGGCTTACGGCCGCACATATGGCCAGTGTCCATCATCAACAGCAATTAACGTTTATATTTAGTAACGAGTATCGAGTAAACAGTGGTCTTGTGCCTTATGGATAATGTGCTGGTAATTATCGTGTTGTCTTATCAATCATAAGCATATGGGCTATTAAGGGAGATGTACGTACTGTCCGTTGTCCACTCTGTGTGTATGTGCGACTGCAAAACTTGGCAATTATGTATTCGTGCACTTGACCTAGAACCTTTAAACGCAGTGCGAGTGTGCCTTGGAATTGGATTGGTTTTAGTTTTCTCTTGGTCCGTTTCGGAGTTGTTCGGTACTTTTGAATTAAAGTGAAAATACCAACTTTAGCATTGCCGCTTAGCTGCTGCGTAAAGTCTGCAGCGATACGTAGTAGTGGAACGATTAATGTATCAAGATGTGTACTTTGCCTTTCATTTGACTGAACGGAAATGATGTTATAATTTTTTTGTTAACAATAACTGATACTCTACTACATTTCCCAGCACGAATCGCTAATCCGGCTACGCCCAATGCTTTTAATTGAACAGTACCTGACAGTCTCTTGTTATTTGATTACCCTTTCCAAAATTATGCAGTTCAGACAAAACAGATGTGTAAATTACAAGGCATTCTTACCGGTCGTCCGCTGGGCTCCCCCCGGATGTCGTAAGGTTTTGCGCGCTAATGGTGGTGATGAGCAGAACCACCGCGCTGCCGATGACAGCAGTCGCCGCTGTGAATCGCATTGCAACGGTCTTACAGTTAGCTTCTAATGGAAAACGTTTGAGTGTTTCGCACGCGTGCGTGTTTGCTGGGTCAAATAAGAAATCAAACTGCAGCAGTATTTATACGAGTACAGACCCTTCTTGTTTAAAACGCTGTCGTCCTTTAAGTGCAACCCGTCCGTCAAAGTAAGTAATTGACTTATTTTGGTACGTCTCTAATTGTGCCTGGAAACATGTCCGCTTTTAGACAGTTCTCCTGTTCTTCAGACAATAACCGGTAATTTAATCATGCATATGACAAGTCCTGCAATGGCAAAGCGTGTTTATTCAATATCCATTACACTGAACAAAATTCATGGAAGTTAATCGTGATCTCTAATTTTTGTCTACTCAGCACAAAAGCGTCAATCAATCCTTGTTCAAGCTTCGATGCCACTTTACGCGAAAAATAGAGTAGATTACAGTTGTCACCCGAGGTGACAGATGCACATAAGATCCAGTTGTGATTATCCCTTGCGTAGTGACAGTTGCTTTACTCGAACCGAGCAACTAGCAAGTGCATCTGGCGTGAGCTGCTGAGGGGTGCTTTTTCGTGCATGACTTTCAAATTACTATTAAATAGTACAATTGAAGAAGCCTTTCACGAATTTTGGCACCGTAGTTAATTAAACAGGACGACAGTTGAGACAATACTGCACTTTCTCGTGGTCGTCAGTGATGATCGGGCACACGATTGTGTGTTTTTTATTCTGTCTTTATGAGCGAGCAGTTTTTGCTTGTTCGACGGAAAGTGGAGGCAAACAAGGGAATATCCCAGGGACAAATGCTTATGACTTTATTCGTGATTGCTGTCATGAGTAATTAGTAATTACCGATGATGGCTGCGTGACAGCGTTCCGGCGCTTTGGCCACCAAAAGAATAAAAGAAATTAAGTTAAATGCCAGAAAACGGAAACAGAAACAAGCGGGTGCTAGAAATGCAACGATATAAAACGAGCTGCAGAGAGCACAAAAACTCTTCATAAACGAGATGCAATAAATGTTTAAATGTTGCGCATGCTATTAGTCCTGGAGAGATGAAGATAACACTAGTGGTAGTCGCTGTTTGCGCAGTTGCAACGCATTTGTTCGGTGTCGGCGCAGCACAAACTACGGGAAACCCAAAGGATGACAAGTAAGCAAACTGGCTATTTTGAATACATGGCTACGAAATCCTTACGAGTAAAATTCCTCAATGTTTCTCGTATTTTGCTCACTTTACGTTAACAATAAGCATACTCGTACGCTTTCATGCAGTATATTGTTACGGCCAACCGGCAGCGCACGCGCATGTGGCGCACTGCATGAATAACGGCTGATCGCACGACTTGCTTTTGCTGTTCTGTGCAATTAACATAACACCTGTTGAGCAATGTATGAAAACATACGGCTAAAGCGAGAAAAATTTCAGAAAAACCGAAGTGCCTTTTTGGCATTCTACTAGAATATGGCAAGTACATATGGACACGAGGCATTTACGATTGAGTGACGTTTTTACTTGTGTCTGCTAACTGTGTAAGTTCGGGGATCTTGAAGAAAAGCGTTTACGGCACTATACTTGCAGGTCTTCACTAAACTTATTGTTTTTCCTTTCGTCTAACACCTGTCCCAGTGGCCAAGTGATAGGTTGTCCCCCTTGCGAAGCAACCTGCAACAATCGCTTCCCCACGTGTGCACAGTCGACGTCGAGCTGCCCCGTGCCACGCAATTGTGTGTGCAAGACCGGAACGGTGCGCAACCAGGGAAGTGGACTGGCCTGCCTGATGCCCTCTCAGTGCCCAGCACCACCTCCGGCCCCCGTCCTTCGTCCAGCGGCACCTGCTCCCTCGCCTAGCGTCATCAATCGTCCCGCGTGCAAGAAAAAATAGGGAGCACTAACTGGTATTGCGCTACTGGGAATGGATATCCTTCGAGGAGTGTGCTGCTTCATTACTGTATCTGGATAACCTTAATCCGTGCTGGGGATGGGTGTGCTGCGCAGTTGCTTTTTTGTCTTCACTTGCCGCACTATGATGATATAGGACGATTGTATGCTAACCAGCTGAAAAAGGGAAAATCATAATATGGATGCAGAAATCAACAAATTCCTGACAATTTTGTGGCTGCTTGTTCTAACTTTTACGTAATTTAGTACATCGACCAGTTTTTCCTCGGACCTCGGTTATGTACTTTTACTTACGCAGATTAAATCATCCGAATCGTCAAAACGGTGAACCACAGAAACAGTTTATGTAACAGTGAGATCGTCCCGTATTTTAAAAATTCGTGTAGATGCACGGTATCTTTTACTTTCGCGCACTCCCAAAATTTTTTTCTCTTGCTCTATGACATTCTGTAGTCAAATGATTTGTATACATACTGTATGTGTAAAATACGTTTTTGCGTGCAGCGTCCGGTTGCGGAGTTATGAGGGTAACAGAATTCCAAAAAGTTTATAATGCGTTCCGGTGTACCAAAAGTCTCATTATGGACCGTTCTCCTTCAAATTTTACAAGTAAATCAGTAAATGCATATGGCCACGAAGATCGGTTTTACACCGATTTAGACTTTCATTATTACATATTTTCAAATTGTACAATAAATTTTAGGATCGGTGTAAAAACGTTCGGCATGGTTATGGGCATTTACGTGCAAAATTTGAAGAGATCGGTTTGCATTTAATGCATTTGGACTTTTTTTGGAGTCTTGTCATCCTCACAGCTCCGCAACCGGATGTTGCGCGGTAGTTCCAGTAACAAAAAAGATTTTAAAAATAAGTTATTTGAATGTGTTTCAATTTGGCACAGATCAACACAGGTTAGTGAGTTTTCAAAGTGCCAATAGTATTACAGAGTGAAGTAGGTTAGCAAGTTTGGAAACTGCCACCAGTATCACAGAGGGACGAATTTGAGTGAATACCCCAGCAGCCACCTGAATCACAGAGCGACGTAGATTAATGAATTTCCATACTACCACCAGTATCACAAAGCCGCTGCGTGAGTGAATACGGTAAACGGATCGCGGAGGAGGCTTTTAGATATTTAGACATAAAGACACTTTTGACAGTAACATATTGGAGTAACCAGATTTCCAGATATTTTTAAAATCTCGAAACTCTGAGGCTCAAAAAAACTAGAGGCTCAAATTATTTATTTATCCACGTATTTCTGATATACGTAATATTTGTTCAGAGTATATTCGAGATCATACGTCTTATACAAAGTATCTCCAAGTACCAATTTTATTTTATTTGCCAATTTTTACTGATTTACGTGTTTCGAGTTTTTTCGGTAATATTATTTTTGCAAAGAAATTTATTTTTGCGTAACTTATTAAATATATGATTAATTAATTTATGAGTTACTGGTTTATCTGGGCTATCAATGATTATCACCTCATTTTTTACTTTGTTATTATTTTGATTTATTCATCCGCATGAGCACCGTGGCTTCAGGTTTGGACTGTGCAAGGAGACGGGTTTTGTTAAGTTCTTCGTTCCGGAAAACTTCCAGCGGGCTTGACAGCGAAGCATTGCAGAGCGGCACGTCTAATCGTAATTCGTTTTTCCGCCAAGAATATGACAGAAGACAAGAGCGCTGAAGACAGATAGGTTTGTAATTCCGGTCTTAGCGCAAAAGACAAAAAATAAATCGAGGACGCATATCATTTCGGAGAAGCAGTCGAATTCGCACGGATGCAAACCATTATTAGCTGCTTAAGCTAACCAGCTTGTTTTCAAATGTACAGGTATAATGTCGTCTAATAAGGTGCGTTTTTATTATCACGTGAGCAGTAATCCTCCAGTGCCGGACTGGGATTGGCGATTCTTCCAGTGAACGGCGGAAAGTCAGCACCGTTGTCCCAGATGATTAGCAGAAAGGGCCGATTGGCTTCGAATGCTGGGAAATAGTTGCATGTGTAGAATGATCGCATCATTGGGGCAGTGTGTTGCCGTAATTCCATGTTCGTCGACATCTAAAAATTGAAGTTTCGCAAAAGCTACCGGCAATTTTGCGAACAAACTTTAAAACTCAGCCAAATTCCACAGCGGTTTCCATCTGCATTGGCATGTGGCATGCTGTTGGAAATCGATATGAATTTTTGCGTGACTTCTGCATTTATGATCAGCATGCCAGGGCACATATTTTTCGGCTAACCAGAAAAGCATTCCTGTGCGCTTCATCGGCCATTGTTTAAAAAACAACGTATAATGTCTGATGCATTTCATAGTCCACTTTGGAGATTCAAAGTGTAATTTCTCACCGAGAAATAACTCTTTGAATTTCCAAAGCAGACCTCGTTTGGACGGCAAATATTACGCAAGCGAATATACTTCCTATAAAGGTCAATGTGGGTGTTTAAACTTTCCGCTAGCAGCTTACTGAAAATGAGTAAATCGTAAGACGCACACGGAACCATTTAAAACAAACCTCTGGGCAGCGCTGCAGGGGTCGGCCAAGATTACCTTTGCCTCCCCTTTGCCTTTGCCTTTTAACTTTGCCTTTTTCAACTTCACCTTTACCTTTGCCTTTGCCGCCCTCAAAACCTTACCGTCCCATTTAATCTTCCCAAAACGCCGTTTTAAATAACCTTTGCCGTCGGCTACAACCGTTGCATGACACAACACCGTCAAACGATTTACCATTTTCGGAACGTATAGTCGGCATTCGGCATACAGGTTGCGAAATTTTTGTTCTTATTAATACAAACATTAAACAATAATATCGCCCTAAACTTAAATTCGATAATTGAGACCGTCATTACGCCGAAACTGGACAACTTTAACCTTAAAGGTTGCATCGATTCGGAAAGGACAGTGGGTTGCAATTCTGAACCTGCAAAAAAATATTTTAGAATTTTTTGAAAAAGTCGGTATCTTGAATCTGGTTAATGCTTTATTTGGCCTTTTCGTGCAACGGGACACATAGTTCGTTTAATCACTGGTACTGTAACAAAAGGATCAAAGGACAAAGTATTACTAACATTTCTGGTGCTATGATCCCAGCCCATTGAATGTAGGCTACGCTAGGATACATTCAGGATATCACATGGTGCGTTCTGCTGACAAGTGAGTACCACTTGTCCAATTGAACGCTGCGAT